CGCGTCCTCGGAGCATCTGGGCACGCCCTTGCGCGCGGCGCGTGGGGGGCTCCACGCGAGACGGCGCCCGTGGGGGATGTGGATGCGGACGCGGCCATTTGGTAGAGAAGCCCGTGCAAGTGTGCTCGGTGTGCCGTCCCCCAGGGCCTCCCGTAGCCACGAGCACCACGGTCCCTGCATTAAGTAGCTGAATCCTGACATAAGTTGAAACCATATTCAGCTTCACCACCCCCCCTCCCCTTCCCGGTTCAACACAGCTTCCAAACCCCTTCCTGGCCGGCCCAGTTCTACAGCTCCGCCTTACAAACAAAATGGCTGAGGTGCCCAGTTTTTTGGATCCTTCCACCCGGCCTCCAGGAAGTGGTAAAAATTCAAAATAAATATAGCACTAAAGTACAACCTTGAGTCTGAACTCCGGACCACCCTTTGGTGCTGGTGCTAGCGGGGTGCCTAGGAAATGCGCTGCTTTTTTGGTTCGTTTTTTTGTATTCTTTTAATTGTTTAGAAAAGAACATCAATCACTAGGGATTCACTTGACTGTAATTTGAACTTCCTGCTTTACATATTTATAAGGTCTTTCACCTATCTTGGCAGGCTTTCAAATTAAGTGGACTGGGAAACTTGATTCTCTCTAGTTGTGAGCTGAGTAGGGTTGTTGCAAACAGGCTTTTCTGATAAAGACAGTCTGAAAAACAGAACATAAAAAATGTTAGAGGAACCCAACATTTGTAATTGCAATTGTAAAGTCCCCAAAGTCAGCTATTATTCAGGTGTTTCTAATACTTATATGGGTGAACTGAACGCGTTCACGGTACAATTCCTTTCCAGCTAAATTTCTAATGAGCTGAAGATGAAAGAAGAAAACACTAAAGGATGAAAATAGGACGGAGAATTGTCTACATTCTTCAAGACCACTCCCACTCCCACAGAGGTCTGGTATGCTTGGCTAGTATTTAGTAGTTAACCACCTTAACAACAACAAAAAACTATAGCTAGGGTTACTGTATCACCCATTGTCTATGACAAGACTCCGAGAATAAGAGAATAAATGTTATTAATTACAGAACAACTAGAATAAACGGCCTGCCTCCAGGAAACCAGAAGTTGACAAAACTAGAATTTTGTCACACAGGTAATGACCCACAGGTCTGAGGCTCATTTAGATAGAGTCTGAGCTAGGCTCCCTTCTCTGGCCTCTATATTTTGCAGCTGATCTATAGTCAGCTGAAGCAGATAAGTGGGGTAGACCTGGACTCACATATATTTAATGAGCAGCCATGGTAAGAAAAATATCTAGACTGGAAGAGACACTTATGTAAATATACAGGTAGGTCCTTTTTATTATCTGTAGGCTAGACTACTCGGAGCCTTTTGTGAGGTGTGCATATTTTAAATTATAAATTTTCTGATGAAATAGTTTACTTTACAATTTTTGAAGACATATTCACGGTATACATGAATAGGTTTCTTGTTTCGTTTGTTTGTTTGTTTTTCTGTGTGTACAAAGGCAAGATGCAGGATAAAGTATAGAAAAGTTCTCAGAGAAAAATAGCTTTGAGGTTCATTATAATTCTTGAAAGCTTAGCATTTGCTGTGCACAGCAGTTGCTGCTCATAGATATTAATGAATAAGCATATTGTTTATCTCCTGTTTCATGGAACTTAAAATCCAGAGGCAAGACGGACAAGTAGCAAGGTAACAAATACATAATTAAAATTGTAGGTGAGTGCCATCTACCAAGCACTGCGGCAGTCCAGGCAGAGAATACATCAACAGGGAGACACAGAAACAGCCTCTTAGCAGATAATATTAATGTTAGAGGTGAAAGGTGGGGAAACTTGAAAACTACCTGGGAAATAGCAGCACGACATAGACTAAGTCACTGAGGCAGATTCCACAGTCACATTCTAGAAGAGACATGGAGGCCAGAATGGAAAATGTCTACATGGTTATATTTGGTCAGGGGTGCAAATATTGAGGATTGAAGTTAATAGTGAATGAAAAAAAAGAAATAAAAAGGAAAGGACATGACTACTCCTAGGCTTGGTGGAGGAGAAGAAAGTTAATTGTAAAAAAAAAAAAAAAAAAAAAAAAAGTGAGAGCGTAGTCAGAGGTAGGAACATCTGGAAGAATCATCCAAAGAGGACTTGACCTTGAGCCATGTGAGGAAGGAGGGAGGGGTAGGGAGAGGAAAGAGAGGGGAACTAGGTATGGGCAACCAGGAGGCCCAAAGGTACTAAAAGGGTCAACAGGCAGAGGTGGTGCATGCCCTTAATCCCAGGAGGCAGAGGCAGATCTCTGTGAGTTTAAGGCCAGCCTGGTCTATGTGAGTTCTAGGACAGTCAGAGCTACACAGAGAAACCCCGTCGCCAAAACAAAACTAAAACTAAAAATTCTCACACCTTTTTAATCAATTGAGTATCTTCTGTATTTATAACTGATGCAAAGCATTGTTGAAGCTAGAATTTAGAATGCTTATAATAGAAAGTATTTGTTTTCTGTTTTTGTTTTTCAATTTGGTTTCTGACTTCTAGCAAACCAAACTTCCATGTGTACATGAGCAGAAACAGCACGCCAACTGCTTAAATCTAAGATCTAGAACATTCATTGTTCTATCAGCTCATGGACACCTTGAAAGCCCTTAGGAACCAGAATTTTCAGACACTGGTGTATGAGTAAAGTGTTTACCTCCCAGAACTGAGACAGACTGGAAGATGTTTTTGAGTGCAATCATTTTATTCTTAAGAGGTGATACAGAAACTTTTAAATCTTAATAAAATTTATTACAGTTTTTGCAGTCAAATACATATGGCCAGTTGCAATAAGTGGGATAAATATGACAGGTAGACCACAGTAATTCAAGTCAGTTTTCCCCACCAAATACGAGAATGCAGCTTATTACTAAGTTTTTCAAAGATATTTCCTCCTTTGTAACTGTGGAGAAGGAATTGTGCATCTGTAGACTTTATTCCCTCTCAGATAATTTAGAAAAAAACTATTCTTAGCTGAAGTCAGCATCTGTAACCCTAATGTGCATGGACAGCTCCAATTTGGAAATACCCAGATTTGTGGTCGCCAGGGAATGGTAGTATTAAATTTTGTGTATTCTTGGGGAAATCCCAATATCACCCCTTATGGTTTCCCCATGTTTCTGCCTTAAAAATAGGGAAGCCACGCTTTTTACAAACTTATTTTCAAGCAACACTTGACTATTTTGTTTCCAAATGTTGTGGCGCCCTGGATACACAGTCACCAGCCACAGTGAGCACTGGGTGCTTACCCAGTGTAACTCAGCAACAGTCAAACCAAAAGAAGTCAGAAGTCCACAAGCAAAGGTCATTCCACCAGCACACACCTGTCACAAATTCTGAGGGCACAAAGCAAGCTGCTTCACCACTACATTTTTATTTTTTATATGCTTCATAGTGTTTTTCTTCTACATATTTAACAGAATTTTTACTTTATTGAATTTAAAATTCTTATGCTTGTTACCCCCTCACAAACACACATCCTATACTCATCCAATTTTGTTCATTTTTTTGTTCATGCATTTTTTTTCCTTTTAGGGTAATTTCTTTCATTATCTTATTTCCTTTTTTGCTTTTATGTCTTCTCCCCACCCCACACACACTTAGTAGTATTTTGACTTTATCTTATTGGCTTACAAAATTCTCATGCTTTTGTTATTCTCTTTCATACATATATTCAAGTTTGTTTCTGAACTTTGTCACTGTTGGAAAACTTTTTCTTTCCTCTGAGCTCGCCTTCTCTACTCTCCTGTACACCATTCTTCTCTACACTCTTATTTCTCCTTTGTCTATTTAACACCCTTTCTCTCCTTTCCTATTTTCTGCATCTCATTTCATTTACCATGGACACAATTACCCTGAAGAATTTTTAAGATCATAGCACATTCCACACTGGTTTTATTATTTTTAGTTCTATAGTCATTGGTGATGGATTCTTGGGCTGTAATTGATTTGAGCGTATTTCTGTATCTTATAGGGTTTGACATGGCTCTTTACCAAGTAACACTGGGGATTGAGCCATCAAGACTAAGTTGTTCAATAAAAAGGCACTTACGCATACACACTATGGGAAGACTTCTCTGAGAAATGCTGCTTGTAGCATTTACAAATCAAAATTCACCCAATCTGTAACTAAGTTAATAATGTTCTTTGAAGTCATTTATGACTATGTTCTCATTCTGCTCACATACTGTGTACTTAATCTATTTAGAATTAACTGACTTTATACCCGGCATGGTGGGGCATACCTTTAATCCCAGCACTCAGGAGGCAGAAGCAGGAGGATCTCTGTGAGTTTGAGGCCAGCCTGGTCTACATAGCAAGTTCCAGGACAGCTAGGACTAAATAGAGAGACCCTGCCTCAAATGAAACAAATAAAGAATTAATAGACATTTAAGAAAAACAATATAGTTAATCTTACTGTCTTAGGGTCTCTATTTCTCTAGAGACACCGTGATCAGAGCTACTCTTATAGATGAAAACATTTAATTGTGGTAACAGCCTACAGTTCAGAGGTTTAGTCCATTATCATCATGTCGAGAAGCATGGTGGTGTGCAGGCAGACATGTTGCTGGCTACATCTTGATCAGAAGGCAACAGGAAGTGGACTGACTGTCACACTGAGCAAAGCTGGAGCAAAGAGACCTCAAAGCCGCCACGTGACTCACTTCCTCCAACAAGATCATATCTACTCCTAGCCTCTTAATAGTGCCACTCCCTGTGAGATTATGGGGGCCAATTACATTTAAACTACCACACTTACTATACATTGGACTCCTCAACATACCATGTTTCCTTTTTTTTTTTTTCCTTCATCCATCATGACCCTGACGCAGAACTATCTATGTGTGTATCCATAAGATGTGGTTCAAGACCTAAGATCATTTGCTGGAAGCAGCAAGGCATTGAAAGCAACAGCCCCCACAAAGAATATTGACAGCAACATGTGGGCATAGATGGGTAACATTTGACTGATGTGTGTGCTTCTCTGAGTCAATAGGGTTAGCAAAACAATTTTCCCTTGTGAGACTCCTGTAAAAGATTGATTAAAACAAAAGTTCTTTATTCTTTTTCAGTATCATATTTGCTGTGCTGTTCAATAAATATAGAGAGCAGCCTTTGTTTGAACAATCAAATGAGAAATCTTCAGAACAAATCAGGCTCTCTCTGAGTAAACAACATAACAAATCTATGCTGTTACAATGAAAGGAGCCTTTCCAGGGAACTCTATATCTCCAAGTGCCGACATTAAAAAAACAGAGAGGCTAGGCACAGTGGTGCTTTAATCCCAGCACTCAAAAGTAGGAGGCAGGTGAATCTCTGTGATTTGGAAGCCAGCCTGGTCTACATACAGAGTTCTAGGACAGCCAAGACCATGTAGAGAGATTCTGGAAATCAGAGAGATCTCAAATAAATAACCTAATGATACTCCTCAAGACCCTGGAAAATGAAGAACAAAACAAACCCCAAATCAACAGACAGAAAGAAGTCAGATAAGGACAGGAATTAATAAAATGGGAAGAAACAAAAACAAGGAGAAGAAAGAGTTACTGAAACAAAAAATTGGACTTTGAAAACATAAACAATATTGGCAAAGCATTAGTCACTAAACAGAAGGAAGAGAGAAGACCTAAATTAATAAAATTAGACTTGAAAAAGAAGCTATTGCAACAGATACCAATGGAATTCAGAAAAATCATTAGGTCTTACCTTAAAAACATGCTTATACTAAGTTGACAAAATCTAAAAGAAATAGATGAATTTCTAGATGCATATGAGCTATGAAATTAAACTAAGATGAGATAAGCAATTTAAACAAAGCTATATCGAGTAGTGAAATTGAAGCAGTAATTTTTTAATCTCTCATTAAAAAAAAGTCCAGACCCAGATAAATTTACCAGTG